ATATTTTTCGTGGAGAATAGGAGAATGGAAGAAAAAATTCCGACTTTGTAACGTAACACGATCGACACGAGAAAGATAATCCCTCGTCAAAACTTTGTTAAATTTTTCGATCCTCACCAGTGGAGCTGGCTCAGAGGAAAAACAAAAATCGAAAAATATTTTCCACGGGACGCAACGGAATAGAAGGGAAAAATTCCCAATTTAATTCGAATCTGCGTTTCCCCCGTGAAATTTAGTTCAAATTCCTCCATCTTCGATTTTTCTTTTCTCTCTGAGAACAAAAAGCGAAAATAAAAAATATAGTATTTTCCACGGATATATATATATATATATATAATGTTCCGTTAAAATTTGGGCAGAAATCACGGTTAAAGTTAGTTAAGAAGCAAGAAATGGCGAGAGGGGGAAGAATGGGGTGCGCGAAGAATTTGAATCGCTAGATTTTCCAAAGTTGGCGCGAGTTGCTCGTCGGGAAACAGAATTGAACCTTCCATGAAAACGCGCCATGTTTCAACGCTAACTTCCATTCCTCTCCAAACTGCCACCCCCGTCGCACCCTTAATTTCCCGGATGGCGGAAGATTAATTAAACAAATCCCATTTTCAATTTTCCGTTCACCTCACCAACTCAACTTCAACCTTCGAAACGCCTCCCTTCCCCTCCTTCCATCGTTATTTCTGTTTGCTCGCACGCGTTTGTTCCCTCGCAAACATACCCTAAATTCAAACGTTTGATTCCAACTAAGATTTTTTTTAACGTGGGTGTTTATCTCTTTACGAGGCGAGAAAAAGATAATGCTCGTCTCGTTTTCTTTTCTTCTTTTCGCACGTTGGTGGATTTACGATAATTCCAAGAAGGCACGTTTTCATGATGAAGATGAAGAATTAATTTAGCGAGTTAAAAAATTATCCACGTGTCTATTGTTTTTTTTATTGGATGCAGTATTAAAATGTTTAAGTTAAAGTGAAAGTAAATTAGAGTGTTTAATTAATTAAGCTAGAATTAACATGATGATGAGAATCAAGTTAGGTGTGAAATAAAATATCTTTAGGGTTAGGTTAGGTTAGGTTAGGTGGATCATTGAATAGAGCCTGGGTAGAACTAGAACAAAGAAAATCTGTTTTTGATACGAAACTTAAAAATTGAATCTTATTTACAATGTTACATCTAATTTCTATTGTGAATTTAAGTAATAGAAAAATACAATTTTGAATTATACAGTCTAGAATCTCAATTCATTATTCAATCTGATTTAAATCTATATATTTGTGAATCTGAATATCGAGGTGTTAGATTAGGTTAGGAAAATACTACTGCTTTGGATAAACCCTTAAAAGAAATAGAATCTTACCTATATCTAATCTGCATTACATGTCTGGAATGTTAGGTTAGAAAAGCACAACTATGAATATATAACCTAGAAATTGAATCTCACTTAGAAACGTTATATCTAACCCAATATTTCTCTTCCCACATTAAAAATCTATCAAGAAAACATCTTTTTGAATAAAATATAGAAATTGAATCCTTTTTGTTAATTAATCTATTTAAAAGAATGTTAGGTTAAACATACTCAAAGCACAACTTTGAATATAACCTAGAAATTGAATCCCACTTACAAACGTTATATCTAACCCAATATTTCTAAAATTTCTATTGAAATATTAAGAAACCATCGTTTTAGATAAAGTTTTAGAAATTGAATCTCATTTATTACACCCTAACAATCATAATATTTCTTGAATCTAAATTAATTAAGATACGTTAGATTAAGGGGAAAAAAAAATTTAGAAATCGTATTTACAACATTGTTATCTCATTACATTGACCAATATCCCGATTTGTACACATTCTTAGGTTAGGCTGGTGGTAAATGGTCACGCCTAAAGGGCACGGTCGTGAAATTACCACGTTCGACCTATGCACGGGGATATCGTTAAGCGGTTCAGCATTAGAGCGACACTCAATTGTCAGTCGCAACGTGAATTTGCACAGGTGTCAGGCGCAAGATATCATATCGAACGGTAACTCTGAATGGGCCAAATTACTGATGCAAGTAACGCATATATATATATATATATATATATCGCGATGCGTCAGATCGAGTTACGTGAAATGAATTCACCTCTATTTCTCCGATTATCTGTCCTGAAGAGACCGTATCTTTCTCCGTCCAGCAATCTCTCGAATCGCTCATTTTCTCGTGCAAACTAATTTTTTTAATATTACGCACGCTGTGCAACGTAAGATAGGATGTTATTTAACACGCAATTCAATACTCGCGCAAATACGGGGAGGAAGAGAAATGCGCGGTAACCTAATAATCGAGAAAATAAATTTTAAAATTTCGAACGTTGTAACGATATTTTCCAAATTTTTTTTTCAGACATAAAGATGCCGATTTAGGATAAAAAAGAAAGACTATATCGATATATACATAATTTGAATGAAAATTAGTATTGCGTGCAAATTAATTTTTTCAGATATGACGCGTGTTTATAAGCGATTATCGATCGAACGTTACATTAGGAAAATTACGTGCAAGTGTTTTATTTTAGAAGTGCAATATATATTTTCATAACGGTCGAGAACACGTAATAGAAAAAAAAAAAAATCTCGCAATCTCTCTTCCATTCCATATTTTTATATCTATAAAAGAACGATTCGTGGATGATGTACTACCCGCCCCGTTCTCTTTGGGTATAAAATTAAATCTTGGCAAAAGTGGATTCCAAAAAGGAGAAAGTAGGTTACCAGTGATTCTACAAAAGAAAGTGGCCACAATCTTGCTAAAGCCGATACTTTATGCGATCTGGCTAATCGTGGCCGATACCTACACGTTTCCAATTACCACTAGAAGGATCCCCTCCTCCTCTTTTTCGAATAGTTCAGGCTATTGGGGGTAACGAGAGGTTCGGCAATATGGGTTTCCCGAGAGCCAGCTATCGACCGACTGACATTTAAAATCGTTTCCAAGCGAACAGAGACTTATCCAATTTACGAAACAAGGCGAAGATTTAAAAAAGAAATAAACTCACAGCGAATCGAATTAATGATTTCAAAATTTTGTTGTTTGCATGCGATGTATCGATGAGAAATAAATATTGCAATTAAAAATGCTGTATAGATACATTTGTCAAAGAATCAACGAAGAATCGAATTTGATCGAAAGATATAAGCGTCAGAGAAAGATTCAGAGGAACCAGAATCCAATTCCAATTTCTCGAAAGACGTTTCCAAACGAATCCGACGATTCGTTCAAGCGAGAACAAATGGAGATTCGTCGGATTTTTCTCCAACTGAGAAATCGTTACGCCCAACGATTAATCATTTAATCTCGCGTGATTGCACAATTTTTTCCTTTCTTCCCCTCCTCCCGCTCCTTATTGAGAAAAGCCAACAGCGTTCACCCTCGTTGTTCCATCGATGCGACTCGAAGAGATCGAATACTCGAGGAGAAGCTCGAGTAAGGGTGATTTATGACCCGGAGAATAATCATCGAATATTCCAAGCGACAAAAAGAGATATCGAGATGGTTTAAACCGGGAGACACAGAGGAGAGAAAGAGAAAGAGATATGTATATACTTAATTATATCTCAGAGACTTCACTCGAACGAGAAACTGTTATTAATGGACATTTGGCTGGGGGGGAAAATCGTATTTCTTTCTGGCCGATCGACACAATCTTCGATCAATATTTCACGCTCGATGCAAATTTTCCTCGAAATTATACCATTTAGAATCGAATCTGTCCAAGTAAAATACAATCGTGAATTTTTACTCTCCTCGTTCGATCCTTGATCGACTAATCAATCAATTCTCAAATTCAGAAGCGTTACAGAGAGAGAGAATAACAAACATTCGAATCGATCGTTTAGACAAAAAATTTCCACGCGATATTCTTTCCATTGTTCCAAAACTTCTCGAAACGTCCTCGTTCGTAACGCGATAAAAACATTACGAAACACGCAGACACGAAATTCGTTCAAACTGCCATAAAATTCGGGCACGCGGACAAAACCGAGAAATAGATTGGGGAATCGGATTCTTTTTGTCTCCACGCACGTTTAGAGAAGACGAGAAGACGTTTATATTCCACAGCCAGGTCCCCGGGGCATTTAGCGAAGGTTAATTAGCCAGAGTGGGACGCGCGCTTTTAAGAAAGCCGTGGGCTTTAATAATTCTCTTCGAAACGGGCGGCGTCGCGGACGCGGCTTTTCATTAACCAGAAAGGAAGGATCACTCGCCAATATACGGGTTTTATTATCCAACAGCGATACGATACACTGGGACCATTGTTCTCTTCCTCCTTCTCCTCCACCCTGCTTTTACGTAACCAACTTTTCGAAACATCCCCCTCTTTCTTCTTCTTCTTCTTCCTCTTCTTGTCCCCTCCTTCTGGACGATGCGAAAAAATAATATACATATCCGACAGTTATCCCATTGATTCGAGCTATCTAAAAAAGTTTGGTCTCTATATAAACGTATGTACAGGGTGTCTCTGAAATCCAAGCAACGTGAGGAATTTTTTCTTGAAGATTGAAAGAAGATCGGATTAATCATCTCGCTCGAGTTGGACGTTCCTTCTGATGCAAAAAAGAAATATACGTATTCATAGTCACATAATGATCTTATGTACAGGGTGTCTCTGAAATCCACGAAGAATTTTTTCTTGAAGATTGGAAGAAGATCGGATTAATCATCTCGAATTGGACGTTCTTCTGACACGAAAAATGAAATATCCGACAGTCACACGATGATCTATTATATAGGGTGTCTCTGAAATCCACGAAGAATTTTTTCTTGAAGATTGAGAAAAGATCGGATTAATCATCTCGCTCGAGTTAGACGTTCCTTCTGACGCGAAAATATACGTATTCGATAGTCACACAATGATCTTATGTACAGGGTGTCTCTGAAATCCAGGAAGACTTTTTTCTTTCCGTTCGAAGATCGCTCGATCTTCAAAAAAAAAAAGAAAAAAAAAGAACAGACTCACCCTCGTTCTCGTTGTTACCGATCAGTATCTCCGTGTCTTTGAAATCTGCCTCCCTCAACAGATCGAGGGGATGCTTGGGCAGGAAGATGCCGTCGATGGTCGGGGCGGAGGGGAAGCCGAGGATGCCCCAATAACTGTTCCACTGTTGAACGGAGATCGTCTTCGCGTCCACGGACCTCATACACGCCATCACCCTGGCCGGATTCTCGTGGAGCATGGTCGAGTTGCACCCGCAATCGTCGACCAGTATCCTGGCAACCTCGTTCGCCTTCTCCCCGCTCATGTAGCTCCAGGGCGCGTTCAGGGTGCCGCTCTGCAGTATACCCCGGCGCACCAGGCCCCGGGTGACCGGGGAGATGAGGTGCAGGGAGACGGAGCTGCCGCCCGCCGACTCGCCGAAGATCGTGATCAACTCCGGGTCGCCGCCGAACGCCTCCGCGTTGTCCCTCAGCCACCTGAGGGCGAGCGCCTGGTCCCACAGACCCATGTTCCCGGGCGCCTCCTCGCTGTTGGTGAAGTGCTTGTTCAGATAGAGGAAACCGAACGCGCCCACCCTGTACTGCATCGAGGCTATGATCACGTTGCTGGTCACCGCCATTATGTCCGCGTTGTACACGTCGAGGGTGGCCGTCCCGCTCATGAACCCGCCCCCGTAGATCCACACCAGGAGGGGGAGGAGGCCACCGTTCCTCGAGGGGCCGTTGTTGTGGGGCTCGGAACCCTTGTGCCTGAGGCGAAACTTCTGAGGCACCCAGATGTTCAGGTACAAACAGTCCTCGGATATGTTCGTGTTCGGGTTCCACATCTCCTCGCCGGGGAAGCCCGGGAAGTACTCGTACCTCTCCTGATAGCAGCTGTTGGGCAGCACGGTCGCGTTAAGCACGCCGTGCCACGGCTCGATCGGCAACGGTTTCCTGAAACGGAGGGGCCCGATCGGTGGTTTGGCGAACGGTATCCCGTAGAACACGTGCACCTCCTTGTCCAGCACCGTGCGGGGGAAACCGCGGACGAGGCCGCTCGTCGTCTCCACGACCAGGGGATCGTTGTGCACGTTGCCCCTCTGCGCGGACACGTTGCCCCTCGTCGGCCCGGTGCACGAGAGGAGGAGGAACAGGAGTAGGACCCTCGTCATGTCCGCGATGGGGGGTTGTGGCGGCGGCGGTGTGGCGCTTCGAGAGAGGATAGGATTTTCCTTTTTGTTTTGGGGAGAAGGGACGATACGCAGCCTGGCGAGAAAGAGGCTCAACAAGTTAGCGAGTGGGGGACCGGCCGTTGGGAGCCGGCTCTTGCGCGGAATCCTCCTCTCCTCCGCTCTCCAACCACGCCGTCTCTCCCCGTGTCTCTCTAATTCACCGTGACCTTAGCTTATGGCACACGCGTATACACTGTATAACTTTGTGTGTATATACAACACGCACGCGCGCTCGATGTCACCCGATTTTTTTTACTTCTCTCTCTCTCTCTCTCCTTCTCTCTATTCTCTTTCGTCCTTCTCCTTGTGTTGTCTTCGCGGTCGTTCGTTCGGAAGGATGGAAGAAGAGAGCACGGTTTGATCACTGGGCGAAAAAAAAGGACGATTGCAAGGACGCACGACTGCGTCGCGGAAAGACAAACAAAGGGATCGCGCGCAGATTGAGGCGGGCAGAGGGTAAATTTTCGCGCGGCGGCCGGCGAGCCGCGTTGCACGGGGTCGACTGATGGAGGCGGTAGAGGTGGAACGGAGTCGAGGTGCGCGTTTGCCTGGTAGTGGTGGCGGTGGCGGTGGTGGTGGTGGTGGTGGTGGTGGTGGTGGAGTGTTGGCGCAAGCCTCGCGACCGTGCATAGCGATGGCCATTCGATTCCCTTCCTGCTTTCAACTTCTCCACCAATTTCATTCTTCCAAGATTGCCGTCCCATTCGAGGAAGTTTTAAAACGTTTTCCAAAGTTTCGAGCGGAGGGTCGCTCGTTCGCGATTTTATCGGGATTCTTCGATGAAAAGTGGCGGCGGTATCGGCGTCGAGTCGATTGGAGTTTTTTCTCTTTTTGTATCGGAGATTCCGGATCGAGCGTTGATCATACCCATCGCTAATCGCGTTCAAACATCCTATTCCCGCGAAATCTTTCGGCAAAGTTTAAAAACGTTTCCAAAGTTTGTTTCCCCTCGCGATTTCAGGATCTGATAAGAATCGGTCAATTCGTGAATTTTCGTGTCGATCGAACGTTTACACCTATCCCTGAATTGCTGCACGGATATGTGTCAATAAAAATTTTAAACGTTTTTCCAAAGTTATTTCTTCCATATTCGTTTTCAAAATTTCCAAAATTTCGAAGATTATTCCCCGCAATTTTATCAGGATATTCGATAAAAATTAAAGTATCGTTGAATAAGTTTCACAAAAATATTGTTTATCCTCTTGATCGTTTATATCCATCACTAATCATATCTAAAGATTGTCATTTTCAAAATTTTCAAAATTTCGAAGGTCATTCTCCAGAATTTTATCAAAATATTCGATAAAAATTACAATATCGTTGAATAAATTTCCAAAAATATTGTTTGTCCTCTTGATCGATCGTTTATATCCATCGCTAATCCAAAGATTTTCATCTAATTCCAAGATTTCGAAGATTATTCCCCGCAATTTTATCAGGATATTCGATAAAAATTAAAGTGTTCGTTGAATACATTTCCAAAAATATTGTTTGTCCTCTTGATCGATCGTTTATATCCATCGCTGATTGTATGCAGTAGATCGATCCTCAAACGCTGTTCTTGCTGTCGTTTGTCCATCCACACTCGTACAAGTTTCAATCTCGTTCTTCCGTCCTTTAATCACTCTGCAGAGCCGAAGAAGAAATCGCATCCTGGATTACGGATCCGCGTTAACAAGCGACGAATGAAATCCGAAAATCGTCGTTCTCGAACAAGGAAGTTGAATCAAAATGAAAGGAGGAAAACACCTCTGTTCGAATTCGATATCCTTGCTCCGCCTTAACGACGATTAAAATTCAAGGAAAGATTTAACGGAGCGGGAGAAGTATAAGATTTACTCCTTTGCGAAAACGCTTTCACCGTTTCTTGAATTATTTTCAAGGGTATAATACACCGATGAAGCATCCTCGCAATAATTCATCGGAAGCAAGAGTTATAAATATTTGAATCGATCGTCGGTATATCGTTCAACTTTGACGACAAGTTGTTTCGCCTTTTTGAAGATTCGTTTCGAGAAAACGAAAGAATTAAAAAAAGCAAAGCGTTCTCTTCTTCTGGTGATCTTTAAAATATTGTTGTGGGGAAAAAAGAGGGGACGAGTTGAAAAGTTAATCGTCCAAAGCAAAGAATCGAAACCGATTCTATTTCGATAGATGGTCGCCTTAATTTCGTTCTTCGACCCAAGAGGCGAAACCTCCCTTGGCAAACGAGATTAAAATCAGAAGAATAGAAAAATAATCACTGATTCGATTCGTTACATTTACTCTTTGAAAAATCGTCGAAAATTCGAGATTCTCGCTTTCTTTCACCTCAAAATCAGTAATAAAAGAGGAAAATATTATTGTCGTGATTTTTCTAAACAAAAAATCGAAAATTGACACCAAATCCGAATATAACATTTCCAGTATCTTATCCAAGAGCATAGTTCAAAAAATGATTGGTGCAAAAATCTTTATCTATCGTCCATTATCCAATCTAATCATCTCTTTCTACTCGTTTTCCAAATTTTCTTCGATCGACTCCAACATAAAGAAATTCGAAGATTTTCAATGGCGCCAAATTCGAATATTCAAATTTCTTAACATTTACTTATTTGCGACAGACACAAAAGACAATACATAAAAGACAATTTACTCAAATTCTCTCACCAACTGCCGTTATTAAAATTTCCTTGTTTCCGCGATGTAACAAATTTATTACAAAATTCGTGAAAGTTTCTCGCGTCGAGGAGTTTGCACAAATACACGCCAGGTTGGGTTCGACGATCAGGGAAACCATTTCACCAAATTGGCGTGGGAAGAAGGGATCTTTCTGCGCGAAAACGTTACGTGACTGAGGGATCCGCGAGGATTCACACCGAGAGCTAAGCCGAATGAAACGAGATGCAAAGACATCCGGAATGCGTGATGTTATTAGAAGGAAGACCGATCCGGACGCGGTCTGCATGTATAACTACGAATGCAATCGCGATCTACTATCCCAATCGAGCTTCCCGAACAATATCTTCCTTCCTTTCTTGTCCTCCCTTCGAGCTCCCTTCGATTGGATATTCAACTAGTCGTCGCTTTATAACAGCAAGAGTTTAAAATTAGAAAGAATTTGAAACAGAAAAAGCGATTATGCGTTTGGAAATAATTTTTTGACATAGTATTCTGACATAGTATTCGTTAAACAGATGAATTTTGATACTTGTGTTTTATTTATATTACGAATAAACTCTATTAATATAATAAAATTTGAAACAAAGAATTTAAGATAAAGATTGGAAAATAGAAATAAATTGATTATCTGGAAATAATTTTTTGATAATTCTGACAAAGTCTTCGTTAAACGGATGAATTTTGATACTTGTGTTTTATTTATATTACGAATAAACTCTATTAATATAATAAAATTTGAAACAAAGAATTTGAGATAAAGATTGGAAAATAGAAATAAATTGATTATTTGGAAATAATTTTTTGACAGTTCTGACATAGTATTCGTTAAACGGATGAATTTTGATACTTGTGTTACTTATATTGCGAATAAACTCTTTGCCAGTATAATGAAATTACAAAAAAATTGAAATAGTTATAAATTATGAAAAATAGAAATAAATTAATTATTTGGAAATAATTTTTTGATAATTCTGACGCCAGTTATAGTATTCGTAGAAGAATTTTGATACTTGCGTTACTTATATTACGAATAAACTCTATTAATATAATGAAATTTGAAACAAAGAATTTGAAATAGAGATTATACGTTTGAGAAATAGAAATAAATTGATTGTTTGGAAATAATATTTTGATAATTTTCAAAAATAGATAAATTTAGATACTTGCGTTAATTAAATAAAACCCTTTTTTGTCCCTGTTTAATGAAATTAAAAAGAATTCGAAACAAGGGAAAATAATTACTTATTTCTTTGTGATTAAAAAGTTTTGAAAATTCTGTTGTCATAGACATAGCAAAGTAATTACTCCCTACATTTCGCAGCCAATAAATTTTAATAGTTGCCCGTTACGTAAGCAAATCCTTTGTCGGCGTAATAAAATAACAATGAAAGGGACAAGTTGGAAAATAATTATCCATTTTCCTTCTCCATTAAAAGTTTCCAACTTCTTCCGATGTCTTCAGACGTAATAAATACTTTCATCTTCCGCTTCTCGTAATCCCGCCTCAAACATGCACATCTTTCGGTTCGAAACTTCGTCATAAAAATTTCTCAATATCAAAAACCCTTTATTAAAATTTTGCAATCATTAATTTATTCCATAGTTTCTATATATCAATGAACGAGTACGAATAAAGACCAATAATCCAATTTTTCCTTCATCCAAATGATCGCGAATCGAGAATACATCCAATATATCCAATTCGAAGAAGAAATCGATTCCTAAATTATTTCTCTCTCGAAAACCTGCATCCACTCTATACACCTTATAAAAGAATCCCTTCTTTTCGTTCCCTTATTATTCCACGAAAAAAAAAAAAGAAACGAAAAGAAAAAAGAAAAGCATTGGAAGAAACCTGTCGAAGGAAGACGGAGGAAAGCGGGCGCAATCGTGGATGGCAAAGGAGGAAAGAAAGAAACAAGTTTCGTTCTAATGAAGCGGCGCAATTACGCCGTCGTTATCCATTTTCCAGTTCCCCCATTTTCCAGGGGGAAAACTCTTTTGTTCTAATCACGGTACGCCTCCCTAAAAGGCTTCTTTTGCACAGCCACGTTAATCCCTTCGTCCCGGACAGAATCCGGTTCGCGAATTTCGTTGTTTATCATCTCTCTCTCTCTCTCTCCCCCTTTTTTGGATTCCTCTCTACGGGGTGTATCTGTTCGTTACATGTCAAAAATTATGAATACGTTATGATGCACCAATGGCCTATAAATAACGCATCGAACGTACATGGATTCTAAGAATTAACTGTTAATTTAACTCGCGAGTTCTCGGTTTCTTTTCGTGGCTTGAGA